AAAATCATTAAGAAGGCGTTGATGCAGTTCCTCGAGCAGAATCACCTCATTTACGATGCCCAACACGGTCTTCGCAGTGGTAGATCCTGTCTTACGAATCTGCTCTTCTCACTTGATCGCTGAACCAAAGCACGCGACGAGGGCAAAATTGTGCATGCTATCTACATTGACTTCAAAAGGGCGTTCGACACCGTCAAGGTCAAAGTCGAGGCGCGCAACTTATCTTTCAAAGATAAGTGAAATGGATATTTTATCAGATTTCATCGTTTCCTGCTGAAGTTATTAGCTTAATTGTTGATAATTATTTGTATTTCTAACTCTAAAGCAACTGCACAAAACGGTAGTTGTTTTTTTTACCTATAGCTGAAAATATACAGTTCTATACTATCACCCCGACATAGCCTCATCCTAATTCCGGTAGATTCACGTAAAAAGCAAGTAATCCGTTGCGTGAATATCGAATTAAAGCTGAAAATTTGGTAATATATCAATTTCCAGCAAGAAATAATTTGTATTACTCGTTATATTATTTGAGATAATTTTCATCCTGTGTAGCCTCTTCGCTTATTCTATTTTTTGTCGAAATTCGTTACTCAGAAAATTGTTTTTGTGCAGAGCTTTGCTTAAAACATATCCTATCACTTATCTCTTATTCAATATGACACCTAAGCCACAACTCAGGCGCAAATTACCCCGTAATGTTAGCTGTCCTAACAATCGCCTATCTTAAGCATGAAGAAACTTGATCTTAATGCTTTAGACAATTTTAGTAAGTTTTATTCCCAATATGGTCGTCGTTTTACGGTCCTTGGTGCCATCTTTGACGGAAAGGTATCTACACCCACTTCTCAACAATGTGATAAGCTAGAGCCTTTCGTCAATATGCTGTCTACTGAGACCCGTGACCGACAAAAAAATAAATTTTAATTTTCTTTTGAAAAATGGTTCAAAAAATAAACGACCTCTAGACGTTGCCTTTCAGTTTCTTTACTCTTGTGGCTTTAATTTCAAAGTTGCAGACTGTCATCTCGAAGTAAAAACCCGCGGACTCTCGTACAACTTTTTTCGGCGATAGAAGTAGACATGATCTTCTCTCAGCATGAGCGCTCAGCTAAATATTTCAAGGAAAACAAGCTTTACGTATGCAGAGATAAAACGCCAATGGAACGTCGGGTTTTACCCAAATTAGCAAATTAGGACCCTAGCTCTACGTCAACTATAACAAAAGCTGTTTCTGAGGCCGGCCCTCCCGCTCAGGTAAGCCCACGTCCCTCTGGATCAATGCAAATTTCATCTGAAACTTCACTCATTCACCTTACTCCTGATGCGAGTGAAATCGTAGCATCGCCAAGTCATTCCTCTTTTAAGCAAACCACGCCTGTGGAAGCTTTAAATTTGAGTAAACCTATGAACGCCCTTAGCCAATCTATGTCAATTGTCAAATTCGGCAAGTTGATTACTGCTAACACCTCAGCATCTGAAAAAGGTACAAACACTCAAGCTAGCACTTTTCCTAACCCCAAAACTCTTCAACATCCCCAAATAATTAAGCCAGCTAATAAGGTTAACAGTTTTTCAAAAC